GGGTGGTGGACATGTGGTGGTGGTGGGATTCCAAGTGGTGGGGACCTGGGCGCCATCCATCGCCAACGGACAGATTTCACACGGGCAGCAGCGTCGCTACAAGCATCGTGACGGCCAACGCCGGAAGGGCCTTCGTCACCGGCGCTCGTGACGGAGACTCCGATCTGCCCAAAGCGGCTGTGGGACTGATGGAAGGCCCCTCGCTGTCCTTGGCACGCGGCACACCGGCACTCTCCCATGCACCCCGACCACCTCGCCGTCGTCCTCGACCTCTCCCCGGCCCACTGGCACCGCCCGCCCCTCCCCCTCGACCGTTTTCTCGCCCACATCCTCGTCTTCCTCAACGCCCACATCGCCGCCCGCCCGGAGAACACCCTCGCCGTATTCGCCGCTCTCCCCGGCCGCGCCCCCCTCCTCTACCCCGACCCCGACGCCGCCGACCAGCCGCCCCCCGCCGACCCCAACGTCTATCCGCCGTTCCGCCGCCTCGACTCCATCGTCACCGCCCGTATCGCCCATGAGCTCGACAGCCTCACCCCCGATGAGTCGCTGCTCACTGCCCCCTCCGCCCTCGTCGGCGCGCTCACCAAGGCTCTTTGTTGTGCGTTCTGCACCCCTGTCTGAGCCCCTGCTCACCGTCCCCCAGACATCAACCGCCTCAACCTCGCAACCTCCCAGGTTGATCCGCGCATCCTCGTGCTCTCTGTCTCGCCAGACCTCTCCACTGCCTACATACCCATCATGAACTCTATTTTCTCAGCCCAGAAACTGGTGCCTCCATTCCTCTCTGCGCCACGACAGAACTGACCTATTCCCAGAAAGTCACTATTGACGCATGTCAGGTCTTTGGTCCCGACACCGTGTTCCTCCAGCAGGCCGCTCACCTCACCGGAGGCTCCTACCTCCATCTGACAGAGACCAGCGCTCTCCTCCAGTACCTTATCGTAAGCCGTGACTCGTTACCGTCATTGCATTGCCCCCAACCCTCAGCCCAGATGTCCTTCCTGCCGCCCCCTGCGATCAGAAAGGTTCTCGCCGTGCCAACACAAGACAGGATCGACTTCCGCGCGGCATGCTTCTGTCACAAAAATATCGTCGATATCGGCTTCGTCTGCTCCGTCTGTCTCTCCAGTGTGTCCCACCCTACTGCTCTATCTCGCTTTACTCCCACCTGACCACCACTCATTCAGTCTTCTGTCAGCCGGTCCCAGTCTGCTCTACGTGTCGGTAAGCTCCCTTCTCCTCGTCATCGCCACTACTGGGGTCCTGGCCCTTATCGATGCTCATCACGATAATGACATAGCACCAAATTCCCTATCAAGACCCTTCAGCGGCTCAATGCGTCGAGGCCTCTGGCGACACCGGCCACCCCGTCATCTGCACGGCCATCGCCCGCCGCCACACCAGCCCAGCCCTCCGCGGAGACGCCACGCCACAGAGCCCCGTTGCTCACGGGAGAATTCGCTCAGAACGGAGCCTCCTCGCAGCCTGTGACGAATGGCTCGAAGTATTGATCAGGTGTGCGCTCGTTTGTGATATTGATGTTCTTTACCCTTCCATGTATCATATCGATATGCACGAGCCCTCTAGACTGGGCTATAATGACAACGACGTTATGAATATCTGTGGCCTGTCTTCGCCTCGTTCTCGGTGTGGGTTGGGATGACGGAAGATGACAGCCTGAAGGAGAGAATGCAATTTCCGAGAAAGTCCAGAATCGTCTCACACTCACCCTGGCCTTCGGATTCCCAGTGGATGCATACCCTATGGCCATGCTCGCTGTCGTAAATGCACACCATAGGCGCACTATTGTGATTCAGCCACATATCGTTATCCTTTCATGCGACGAAAAACAGCTGACCAGATGTCCCTCCGTCGCCATCAACCTCTGCTGTAAGCACAATGGCACCCACCGATGGAGACTCTTCGCCGCGTCTCCGGGCCATCTCTACGTAGTTGTCGAGTAATCAGCAGTCCAAGCCGTGCAATACAATAATGACTTACCCCAAAACTCTACTAAGAGCCTGTTTAAGATATCGTGTGGGTCTTTCTCGTCTTCGTCGGAGGTTGATGGTCGTAGAGCTTCCCCAATCCTACGCGCGAGCGCCATCCGGACGACGTCCTCTCCCGTACCTGCTCGCACCGGGAACACTCAGCTTCTCGTAATTCGATGAGCATGAGAGGGGGTTGACCAACCGGAGATACTGCAAGACATTCCTTCCACTCCAGTACTGTTCGAATTTCGAGGCTGGGAAGCCCAACACCCTGCGCCGAAAGTCGCTGCCTTGCAATCAAATCAATTGCTATTATGTAAAGATTTTCAATAGAGAGGGCTTACCTCTCCGACTCTTCCAGGGTATTTCAACAATACTCCACCACTGGGCAGTAGTAAGTGTTCGTATTCCTCTGCCTGACAAATACCGAATCATACCTAGAAACCCCACCAGCGAACCCGTCGTCGGTATGGAATGCCACCGCACCGACCGTGTCTTGGACGTCCGTGAGGCCTTCCTCTTCTTCGTCTCTTAGTAGCGAACCGGAAGGTTCGTCCGTCGAGTCGAGACGGGCTTTCCATTTCTCCCACTGGCTCCTAGCGGAGGGTGTAATGAGGGTGCTTGGATCGACGCTCTCCACTCCTCGTGCTGTGGCGAAGGTGTGTGCCCCAGATGAGACTAGTGTTCTGAATCAAATAGAATCCGTTCAGAGGGTCTAGAGAAGTAAGGTTCTGGACGTACAGAGGTGGTACACGGCCCAGGGTGTCTTTTACCTTCGAGTGCTCAAGCACCGCGCGAGCTGCAGAGATGGGGTTCTTAATCCCAGAAATGGCACCGACGCTCCCGAAGAAGGCTTCAACACCGTGCTTGATGTTACTAGGCGAGTGAATTACCGCTGAATCGCATTCTACTGTGCCGTCTAGCGTTAGGTTTGAACCGTAACCTAGATCAGAATGGAAAGAACCGTCACTGGTAAGGGTCGATTATGAGGACAGCAGGAAAAGAGAGGAACCTGCGTTGAGATTTCCATCGTCCTCCAAGACCTTAATTGCTGTTTCCACCGTGTATAGACTGCTATTTTCCGTGTTCGCTGAAGAAATTGCCAAAGCGTCCGTGCATGCTCTGCAGGCATTCGTTATTGACACCGTCAGCTTTAAGAAGTCCCAAGAAGAGAAAATGAGTGGCCGGCTTTCACCTTTTCAAGGCTTGCTTCATTTCCTTCTCATTTTTGGTGCCATGTACACCCGCCCCTCCATGTACAGCGACATACGCCAGGGAGGACATGGTGGCAGTGGGCTGGTGGTGGATTGAGATCAAGGTGCAATTACCCGGAAAGGAAATGAATTATCCAAAAAGTCCAGTCCCCACGCCTCGCTTGATCACTTTCCGGTGGAAACAAGTCCTGCCAATCTCTATAGATCACTTCTAGATTGTACCGATAAAAATACAACAAGCACAACAAGCACGCTGTGTCTCTTTCCTTCTCGACGATCGTCGAACTTATACGATAGGCGACAGGTCGAAACCCTCTGCACCTTTCTCCTTCACAGCAACACCCTTCTCCGTGACGATAGCACTGATGAGCTCAGCAGGCGTGACGTCGAAGCTTGGGTTGTATATGCCCTCCAGGCCTTGAGGGGTGATCATTACCTGCACCTGCTCCGTCTCACCGCCTTCGTTGGGGTACCGTATGCCCCGAACGAGACACGCTTCGAGCGCGGGCCTGTGCTCGATCGGGATTCTGGATGAGAAGATTATTGAAACGAAAGGAGAGAGGGCGTGTGATTCGGCGAAACAGAACATGGGGGTTCGGACATTATACGAGGAAGGATGGTGTGCGATGGTGTGATCATGGAGTGAGACGAAGAGGCGGAAAGATTAAGCGGTGCATGCATCGTCAGTAGGATTCTAGTGTGGGAGAAACAAAGAGGAAGACGCACTGGGAGCCGTCGTGCACGTCGAGGTCCACTGTGCTGATTGGAGCGACGACGATGAACGGGATTTTGTGCCGCGCTGCGAGAACAGCTGCGTTGTACGTCCCGATCTGCTCAGAGTATCAGCATAATGCAGCATGAAACATGTAGCAGTGCCTCCAGCGCTGCTCCAAAGACTTACCTTGTTCGCCGTGTCTCCATTCCTTGCGATTCGGTCGGCACCAACAGCTGCGGTAAGTGGAACACGAAGGCACGAATGAAAGGAGAGATGAGAGGGGGATTAAGAGCTGAAGGATAATGTCATGCGTACCGACGGCGTGTATTTCGTGGTGCTGGAAGAGAGAGCCAACCATGGTGTCGCAGATCATTACAGAGGGGATTTGGAGCGTCTGGAGCTCCAGAGCGGTCAATCTTTAATGCGAGTATTAACACTGTCGCGAGCGGCACGCCCAGACGGCGCGGCAGGAAGAGACGCACCGTGAGCCTTGGTGGTACGGCGCAGTCTGGGTGAAGTACGCCTTTTGCAGTTTCCTCGTCTCATGGAGGTAGGTGATCATGCCTAGCGCAGTGCCATATCCCTAATATCCCGAAAACACAGAGGTCTCCGTCAGCAATCATCCGCGATCCGCGTCCCCGAATGCTCATAGATGCGGAGCTAGCTGTGTGGTTTTACTTACCGAGGTCGCAAGAGAGCCGGTGTTGCACACCGTGAGGACGTTGACACCCTTGCTCGCGTCGAGGCCGCGATCGGCGACACGCTGCAGCAGCCACTCGCCAGCCCACTTGGCCATGAGTTTGTTCCTCCCCACATCCTCGTCTGCGACGGCCCTACCCTCCGCCACGAGCTCCTGCGCGATCTCCCGCGGCACCTTCCCAGCGGCGATCGCATCGTCGAGCGTCTTCGTTAAGCGCCGAGTGGCTGCACCGAGGTTGACAGCAGTTGGGCGAGCAGTAAATAAATACGCGAGGGTGGTGTCGATGTGCGATTTAAGCGCGGAGGGCGAGGAGAGGAAGGCAGGTGGTTCGGCGGCACGGAGTGCTCGCGTGAGGTGCTGAGAGACAGAGAGGGCAGCGAGAGACGCGATGGCTGGCGCGCCGCGAATCTTTGAATGCTTGGTTTATCGCGAGGATTTGTCGATTAGATAGATGGCTACCTTCATGGTCTTGATCGCGTCGTGGGCCTCCTCGACGCTGTTTATCTCCAGAAACTCCGTCTTGTGCGGCAGTAGGAGCTGGTTGACGATTTCGAGTTTGTCATCGTCCGATTTTATGGAGATTAGAGGAGCCATAGCGATCCGAGAAATCAGAGTACAGTGCAAGACCGAGAGAAGCTGAGCTTAGAGAGCCAGTGGGTGGTGATAAATTTCCAATGAACGCCCGAAGAGGTAGGCCTGGACTGGGGTTAGGAGCAGTGCGGTGTGGGGTTATCACATGTGTCCCTTCTCCATACTGCCACTCACGACGGAAATAAGAACGAGCTAAGTAGCACTGTCCAGTGGACATGATCCGCCCACACAGCCTGCCACTGTCACAAATACGTTGTTCTATGCTCCCCTTGCTTGACCTCTTCACCTCAACATGATTGACCACCTCGTCGGTCGTCCCAATCCCTCATGGAAACGTACTCAAGTATGTCGCTTCGAACGAGAGAGACGTGCTTTATCTGAGCGTTATCTGCAGGTCTTCCTTGTAATCATCTTCTGGCTATGGAGGATCCTGCGCGGAAATTCTGGACCTCCTCGAATCTTATGGCTCACTAAAGCCAACAGAGCCATGCGTACAGTCATCGTCGCCTTTCGCATCGATCTAAGAGCTCATGAATCTCGTAGGACGCTTCACGCCCTGGCAACTTATCGCCAGCACCCTCACCGCAATGTACACCATTCGCAACTTCGACAAGATCCTGGGCCTCAACGGTGC